TTTTTGGAATATTGAAAGGGCTTAGAACGTGAGGCTGGGGTCCCGTGTACACTCAGGGTGCCCTGCCTTCCTTAGACCCTCTGGCTCCATCCCTCCTAGAGGTAACTAGACTTTTAGTTTTTGGTTTATCCTTCTAGTGTTTTTGTTTGTTTCTTCAAAAATAAGCAAATATTTATATTTTATTTCCCTTTCGTTTCTTATTCGCTAGGTAGCATCCCAAATGCACCTGTTGTTTTTCAGTTAACATCACATCCTGAGTTCCACTCCGTAGCTGTGGAGTGCTCCACTGGGCGCCTGCTCTGTAGTTAGTCAGCCGGCCTCCCACTGATGGACGTTTGGGTCATTTCCAGTATTTTGCTATAGCAAATAATGCAGCACTTAATAACCTTGTGTTTCCGGGTCTAGAAGCGGGATTACAGAGTCCAGCCTTCAGCGGTGCTGGCAGACACTGCCAGGCAGCGCTGTCTGGGGGTCCTCCTCTGTGCTCCACACAATCTGGAGGATGCCCGTCCTCACGCCCAGTCCCCAAAATGGATTGTTAAACTTTGGGATTTTTGCAGTCTGATAGATGTGAAATCGATCTTAGTGAAGTTTTAGTTTGCATTTCTCTTATAATGAGTGAACTTGAGCATCTTTTATGTTGTTCTTTTTCTGCAAACTTATATTCGTATCTTTTTCCATTTTTGTATCAGGTTTTTAGTCTGTTTTGTCCTCTGCTTTGGGAGCTCTTTATTTATTAAGGAGATCAACCTTTGTGATATAAATTGCAAATGTGTTTTTGTGCTTTGTCATTTGTCTTTTTACTTTGCTTATGGTGGGTTTTGCCATGTAAAAGTTATTTTTATGTAATCTAATGTATCAGTCCTTTATTGCTTCTGGATTCTCGAGTCATAGGTAGAATGGCTTCCTTCCCTCCCCCTTGGAAGAGAGGCTGCGGCACCCGTCCTTCCAGGACTCGTGGGTTTCGTTCTCGGTGTTTACGTTTCTGGTCTGTTTGCAGTTTATCCTGCCCTGTCGTGGGATCCAGCTTTATCCCTTTTCAGATCTGTCCAGTTGACCAACGCCATCTGGTAAGAAGTCCACCTTTTCCCTAGTGACTTGAGCGCCACCCTTGTCACATACCAACCACTTTTATATGCGTGGGTTTATGTCTGGATTTTCCATTTTGTTACATTAGACCAGAAGTTGGCAGATTGTTTTCCGTTAAGGGCCAGATAGGAAATATTTTGACTTTTTGGGCTGCAGGTGGTCTCTGTTGCATTTTCTTCTTTTTGTTTATAACCGTTTAAAAACATAACACCGTCCTTAGCTCATGGCTGGATCTGGCCTAGCCTTAGACTGTGTCTGTCCGTCCCTGTGACCACATGGTTCAATCAGAGATGTTATAGTTGCTTTAATTCCCAGTGAGGACACCCCGCCACGTTGCTCTTCCTTGTGGGGTTCTTCTGGATATGCTTCCTTATTTAGTTTTCCTGGAAACTTATCAGTATCTTTGTCGGGATTCTGTTACATTTAGAGATCAACATGGGGAGAATCCACACGTAAATGATAGACGTCCTATCCAAGGGCAAGATGCCTTTCCGTTTGTTCGTTTCCACTTTCGTGTCTCTCTGAAGAGTTTTAAAGCTTACCTCATATGGGTTTTGCTATTTTCTTGTTTTCTAATAGGTTAACTTTTGTGTTTATCCCTACTGTTGTCTTCTTTCTCCTTTTTTTTTGGTATACTTTATTGTTATTTTTCTAATTTTCTTGAGTTGCTTATTTCTTTTATCTTCTTTTGTTTTTATGGGCATATGGTATCCAAGGCTATGAATTTTCCTTTGATTATCATTATGTTTATTGTTACTGATAAGTAGTGTTTTCCTTTTTGTTGTTTCTAGAAAACCTTTTTTGATTTTCTTACCCTTTGATATAAAGTTATTTATGAGTAAGTGGTGAATTTGTCTTAAAAAATTTTGTTATTTCAAGTTTATTGCATTATGATCAGAGAATATTATTTGTATTATTCTATTTAATGGAGTGTATTTTAGGTTTTTTGTGGCCTAATATGTGGTCAGCTTTTATTAATGTTCCAAATACACTTAGAGATGTACTCTCTGTTAGTGGGGTACAGTGTTAAGATACATATCTACATGCCCTCTACTTTATGGATTAGCTGTCTGGTCTTCTGTATCCTTACTTATTTCTCACCAGATCTACCTGTGAATGGAAAGTGGTTAGTTTCTGTCATTATTGTGTTTTCTTCTATTTCTCTTTGAATCTCTAAATTTCTGCTTTGTTATTTGGTGCATAGATAATCACAGCTATTATACATTCATTGTGAATAGACGTTAGTATGATAAAGTGTCCATCATCCAAGGAAACTGTGGATGCTTGCACAGAACAGGAGGTATTTGTGAGTCATGAAAGAAAGGTGGAGATTGAGAAGAGAAATGGAAGAAGGCCATCCAGCCAGAGGGAAGAGCCTCCACCCAGATTTGGACCTGGGAGTGGGGCTGAGTTGAGGCAGCAGTAAAGATTCCAGCCAGGTGGGACATGGTGTTTGTGAAGGGGGTGAGGGAAGTGAGCTTGGGGAGGAAGGGGCCACTGCCCCTGGGGGTCTGTTCCTCGTTCAGGCCATGGTTGGTGCTATCACAGACTTTGGAGTGGGATGGAGACAACACAGGGTTCTCTAGGCAGGTGCTTTGGCAGCACTGTACTATGAGGAGCTTGGACTGCAGGGATGGCCACTGAGGAGCCATTTGTGTCAGCTGGACAGGAGTGGGCAGGTAGGCGCCTGCAGTGGGAAGAGTGGGAGGCCTGGTCTAAGAGGCCTGTGACTGCTGAGATCGGGATGCCCCTGCACCTGGCATCCCCCTGTATTAGGGTTTTCCAGAGGGGACAGAACCAATGGGATATTTATATACATGAAAGGGAATTTAACAAGGAGAGTTGGCTTATGCAGGTATAAAGGCGAAGTCTCGTGTAGGCTGTCTCCAAGTGGGGAATGATAGAAACCAGGAGGGTGGCTCCCAGGGAAGGCGGTAGTGTGGCTCAGGCAAGTCCAAAAATCGTAAAACCAGGGAAGCCAACAGAGCAGCCCCCAGTCTGCCAAGGGCTTGAGAGCCCCTGGGAGGCCACTGGTGCAAGTCCCGAGGTGGAGGGGAGTCAGCAAGCTGCATGTCCCCTTTCTTCCACCTGCTTTGTCCTAGCTGTGCCCCCAGCCGATTTGGTGGTGCCCCACCCTGCAGATGGGTCTGTCTCTGTCCACTGACTCACGTGCCGGGCTCCTGTGGAAGCGCCCTCACAGACACACCGAGAAACTGCTTCGCCAGGGCATCTGGGCATCCCTCGATCTGGTCACATAGACGCCTGACGCTAACCACCCCCCGCCCCAACCCAGCTTGCATGCATCTGGGTTCAGAGACCTTGAGCTGCTTAAGGGTGGGGACCCTGCCTGTCCTGTGTTCCCGTGTTACCCTGTGCAGGGCCCGGCGTGTGGCGGGGCGCAGTCCTTGTTTGCTGAGTGAATTAATGGTAGTATTGAAGGGCCTGGCAGCAGGTGGGTGTGGTGGTGGTGGAGCTGGCTGGGAGCGAGTGCTGCGTTCGGGGCGTGCCTAGAGCTTTGGGCGCATCTGTGGTGTAGGAGAGGCTGAGGTAGGGGTGTGGGGAGGCCCAGGGTGTCATTTGGGAAGTCAGCCTGTAGGGGTCTGGCCAGCGTTGGGGTGGGCCCAAGCTGTTGCCTCCCTCGCAGCCCATGTTGGTGGCCGGGCAGTGCCCCAAGCCCAGGCTTTGGCACTTGCGGGTCTTTGTTCCAGGGCCCACTGCTCCTCCGAGAAGAGTCGTGGGGCTGCCGTGTGCATGGATGCGTCCCGAGCTCTGACCAGATGCTGGAGTCCTCAGAGCTGGCCTGGGGGCCGGGGCAGGGGCTGGGGGTGCTTGGTCTGGTCACCGCTGAGATTCCACAGCTGGGGACTGTGTGTCACTGTGTGCTATTTCTCGCAGCTCCTCCTCAGTCTTTGTACTGATTCCTCACCTGCCTGTCCACCCTGTGAGACGCCCCTTTAAGCTTGTGGCGCAGCCAGCACCAGGCCTGGGCAGCTGCTGCCTGCTCCAGTTCCCTGGGTCCCCCTCCCCCGCCCCCATTTCAGGCTGTGTCCCCTGTCCCCACCCACTGCACTCACTCCTACTAACAGCACTGTCCCCTGGTGTTGAGGAGAGCAGATGGGCTGTGAGTCTACAGCCATCCCGTGGGTGTGGCGGCTGGAGAGCACCTGCGGGCAGACCTGGACGTGAACCCCGGCCTGGCTCCTTCCTCGCTGGGGCTTCGTAAATATTGTTACCCCTATTGGAAGAAAAGGAAAAAATGGTGTTTGAATGTGTCTCCCAACACGCCGTTCCCTGCGCTTTAACTAGTGGTGATTTCAGTGGCATTTTTGTCCATTTAGAATTAACGATCATGCCACTTCAAGAAGGTGAAGGCAGGGGTGGCCCAGTGCCCATCTCTCTGCCAGCCTGGCAGCCAGGAGCAGACCCCCCAGGAGAGGAGCCCGCGGTCCCCACCGGGCTGGGCGAGGAGGGGTCCTGGGTCCCGCACAGCGTGTGCCAGGCCCGATCTCAGGCTGGGCTGTACCACGTGTGTGAGTGTCCCGGTTCCGACAGCGGATCAGACTACGTTCGTCCTGAGGTTCCGTGGCCTGGAATGACAAACTCCCGCCAGCCTGGCCGGGGCGTTGTCCCTCATCCTTCACAGACGGTTTTACAAGGACTTGCCGAGAACCATAAATCTCATTTAGGGAGGAGTTTATTGTATATTTGGAAAGAAATGTAGTCTTCTGAACATGAGTCTTGGTTTTGTTAATTTGGATATTTTAAGATGTTTTTGATTAATGTGTTTATTAACTGTGGCTATGATGGAAGCAGAAATTAGTAATCATGACCAGAGCAGAAATCTCTTCAAAGCGTAAAGATGATAAATGACTCCAATTACTTTTGGGCTCACTGGGGCCTCTTTTGCACAGGGTCTCCTGGCTTCCAGCTGAAATACATGGTGGACCCCGAGTTCCTGAAACCCGGCGAGCAGCGCTGGTTCATCCGCTACCTGGCCTCTCAGACGCTGCAGGTGGACGTCTGGGACGGGGACTCCCTGCTCCTCCTTGGGTCTGCCGCCGTCCAGATGAAGGTAGGGGCTTTCCTGCAGGACATGCACGGCCAGCGTGCCGTGGCCCTCGTGAGACAAGTCACCGCTCCGAGGTCCATCTGCTCGGTAGTGGCTGTCACTATCCAGCACCGTGGTTTAGATTTTTTTGTTTACTAATTAAAAACAGTGCCTCATCCTCTGCTTTGTGAAAGGAAAAGATTTTTCACAAAGTCTGAATTCTATAATGCTAGGTGTTTGCTCAGTGAACTCTTGGGATCAAACTCAGGTATCAAAACCTGGTAATGTTACCTTTTGCTCCTTTGCATGTGGTCATGTCAGTTCCCCGCGGGCCTGGCCCATGGGAGGTGGCCTTCCAGATGGAACGGCGGGAGGCGTGGGTGACTGGGAGTGAAGTGTTCTCTGATTCCCGTTATCAATTACATGAATTGTGCTTTCCCAATTCTAATTGAAATTAGAATCCGTTGTTTTAATTGTGCTTTCCAATCTCCTCGTGCACTGAAACCTAAATCCATCCATTCATTCACTCTTTTTCCCTGGGGTTTCTCCCCAGGCCTTCTGTCCTGGGGACCCCAGATGGTCAACGTAGAGTTACCATGGCAGTGCCTGGGCCAAGGACTGGAGCCACTTGCACTCGTGGACGTGATGTCCTGAGAATTTTCCTCCCTGCCTGTGGGGTGGAGGTGGGATAGAGCTCCTGTGACTCTGAAATTCGTCCACTTCGTTACTCCCACGTGGCTACTTTCCTCTGGACTCCAGCTGCAACCGCCCCTGGCCGCTTCCTATTAGCCTTGTCCCCTCCAGTAGCTGCGTGGCCCCTGAGCAGTGCAGATCCTGTCCTGTCACTCCTCTGCTCCTTCACCTGCCATGTGCTCCTGGGTGGCCCCCTGTCCCTTGAGTGCAGGGGTTGGGGGTCCCCAACACCAGGCTCCTCCTCCCCTGGTGCTTTGCCTGCTCCTCCCTCCATCCCACCCCACTGGCTGTTCCTGTGACTCAGTGTCCTCATGCGTGAGGAGCAAGTGTCCTCTAGGGATGGGGGAAGTTGGGGCACAGTGTACGAAGAGCGCTCAGGCTGGGGTCTGCAGGCGGTGAGGACCAGCAGGTGTCGCTGCTATTCTATTGCCTCTCCCTGGTTGTCTGTTCCTGCTGGGTTACTGGGGCCATTGCCGGTCTGTCCCCACCCTGGCCTTGACATCCCTGAGGGCAGGGACTAGGTGTTGTCACTTACATGAAGAGCTCCTTAAACACTTACGTTTGTTGACACAGACTTGGATAAATTAAAATTAAAATTTACTTTTCTCAAAGTCTTTTAACTTTAAGACTTAGGCAGAAAAGATGGAAAACTGAGATAGGGAAAGATAATCCCCTGTGACTCCAGATCCTGAGATGGTTAAGATGCTCTGTCCACCCTCTGATAGATCTACCTCCTGCAAGGCGAGGGCGCATTTCACCTTGTTTTGCATCTTCCCTGTTGTTGGACGTTCCAGTGATTTTTCCTTCTTCTAATCGTTGTAGCAGACATCTTGAAGTTAAATTTTACAGCCGACTTCTAGCTGATTTCCCAAGGATAGTGAAAATAACGTACTGCTTTGGCAATGAGAGCAGTTACTTCTGGTGACTGCTGTGGGCTTTGTTCGACGTAACCCACAGCCCAGCCCTTTGGGACAATCCTATTGTCATCCTGTTTCTAGTGGAGAAGATGAAGCCCAGGGTCCCCCTGATGATGACCAGAGCAGAGTTTTTGGCCCATTTCTTACTCTGAAGCTTTTTCTCCCCAAATGGCATGTTCCCAGCAGTGGCGTTCTGCGGGCTGCAGGCACGCGGAGCCAGGCAGGGGTGTGGCCCAGCGAGGCCCGTGCTGCGTGGAGGCGAGAGGACACCTGAGTTTCCAGACACTTGCCCTTATGGGCCTTAGCTTTTAAAAAAAAAGTACCTTTTCCATTTTGATAGGTGAGAAATGATACCTTGTTTTTATTTGCATTTCCTTCCTTCCTAGTGAGGCTGAATATTGTTTCTTATATTTGTTGGCCGTTCTCCAGTCTTCACAGTCTGGCACGGAGATCCTCACGACCTGGCCTCAGCCCAGCACCCTAGCCGGTCCCCTCAGGTCCCTCAGGCCCTCCTGGTGGGAGGACCCGTAGGCCACCCTGCGGCTTAGTCCCCTGGGCGTCTCTGTGCCTGTGCCCATGGCCCGGCCTGCCTCCTCAGCCCTCTCTGCCCACAGGCTCCTCTCCTGGAGGGTTTCCCTGGGAGCACTCGCTGTTGCAGCGCCGGCTGGGCTCCGTCCCCATGGCTCCGTTGCCCTCCTTCCCATCTTGCCCCTGCGGAGGGGCGGCTCCTCCTGGGTGGCTGCCAGGCCTGCTCTCGAGTGCCCGTGCCTGGTGGTGTTTATTCACTGGGTAAACTGGGTTGTACTTCACCTAAGAATTGCAAGAAAGACCCCAACAATGAGGACTCCTGCCCGTAAGAAGCTGCCTTTCTTGGTGGCTCGGGAGCTGCTTCCGCCCGCAGGGCTGCTGGGAACGGACGCCGGCTTCCGAGCGCGTGTTTCTCCCCCACAGCACCTCCTCCGCCAGGGCCGGCCGGCCGTGCAGGTCTCGCAGGAGCTGGAGGTGGTGATGACTGAATATGAGTGGGACACCATGGCGGCGAGTGGAGACGTGACGGGATTTGGCAGGGTCAAGCCCATCGGCGTCCGCTCGGTGGTGAAGGGCCGGCTGTACCTGACCTTGGCCAACGTGGGTAAGAGTCCCCCCGGCTGTGCCTGGCTTTGCACCATTCTCCAGCAACCGCCCGTCTCCCCCACTAGCTTGTAAGCTCCCTCAGGGCAGGGGCCACGTCATGGGGGCCATGTCGTGGACGCCACATGCTTCTAGCAAATCAGCAGAATCCTTACTAGCTTGGCTGCTGAGCATCTGTCCTCGGCCCCCGAGTCTGTCCTGGCGCCGGTTGTTTGGGATTCCCGATTTCTGATCCTGATGTGAGGTGAGTCATCTTAGGCTCGCCTGCATTTTTCTTTTTGGTGCTATCCATGGGGCATTCTGTGACAATCCTCAAATAAAGTGACTGTCTCTAGGAGCGGTTTTCATTTAGAGCAGCAGCCCATGGAACTGTTTCATCATGGAGGGGAGAAAATAGCAATGTTCCTGAACTTTCATACAGCTCAGGAGAGAAGGATGGAGAAATGTTTCCTTCTGGTCCAGCACCATGACCTTGTGTCAGAGATGTCCCCAGGGCTGCTCATCAGAGAGGCCGAGCAAAGTCCCTGTCTCCATCCCACGTGCCGCACCAGTGGTGGGCAGGCGTTGGAGCCGGCTGGTGCAAGAGGGTCATCCTGGGACCGTCCAGAGGCTTCCACAGAGGGCTCTGATGGGCTGGTAGGCAGGGACATCATGGGACCCTGTAGGGCTTGTGACAAACCCACTGACTCTCCCTGGAGGGTACTCTGGAAGGTTTGGGATTTTTCTGGCAGAATTGAAAACACAACAAAACTAAGCCGCTTGAGATTTCTGGGGCTGTGTCTGTCTGGAAGGGACTCAAGAACTCTGTCATTTATTAGGGAATTTTCCATTCCTCAAAACCCAGCCTGATTCTAAGCCCCAGAGCCCCATGGGCCACATCCACCCGTGCTGACAGCACAGAGGCTAGCAGCCGCAGCGGCAGAGGAGGGAGCGGCGCACAGCTCATTAAGTCTGCTTGGAGGTTTCTGCCTGCTTGTTTACAAATGTAAAATCCGAGGCAGCCTGGAAAACAGACAATATGGAAACAGCAGAACTCAATTAGGTTCTGAGAAATAAATGAGCCACATGTGAGGAGCAGACATTATTCAAAGGCTCATACGACGAAGGGAGTTGCAAGAGGCATTCTGCTCCTGTGACTGCGTTGGTTGTTTTTATATTTAATTCACCAGCCCACAAATGTGCAGTGACTCCAGGTTTTAAAATCTTATCTTCAGAAGAAAGATTGGCTCCATTATGTTATCTCGAATTGTCATTTTCATACTTTGCCTGCAAGAGGAAGATAAGCTCGTGGAAGAGCGAGTCCGAGATAGCAGCGGAGAGACTCCAGCGCCGGCGGGACAGGGAGAGGTCGGGACAGAGGACAGAGGCCGCCCGCACACCCTGCGTTTCAGTGCAGGAGCCGGGGCTCCTCTGTACAGTTGGCAGTTTTTAGAAAAAAAGTGTTGTGTCTTTTATTTCTTCATAAAACTGGTTATTCTGTGGAAGATCGGGCAGCTGTCTGCCAGCAGCTCGGGCGACGGCTGAGGAAGCCTTCAGGGTGACAGCACCTGGAGGCTGCACCTTGGCCCTGGCCCTGGCCTGCTCCCTCCTTCGCCGGCCACATTCCCAATGCACATGTCTCTGTCTGAGGCCACGCGAGGCAGCCTGTGCCACAGACAGGGACACAGCTGGCCGCCAACTCGGCCCAGGGCTCCTGTGGCTCTTATGGTGGGGAGAGGACCGTCCTCTTGCTTGGTGCTCCTCTGAGGCCAGCGCTTCCACTCTGCCGCAGCCTCCTTTGCGTTTCCGTTCAGTGAGCATCTGTTACAAAGGGATTGCAAGGACCATATTGTTTTCTTCTGTCGCAGTGGTCCTGGTTGTGAAATAGGACAGGAGCTCGCTTGTCACTTGTGTTCTGCAGCCTTCCTGGAGGGGTCTTCCCGGGAGAGGCAGGCGTCAGGGCAGGCGGCCCCACAGGTCAAGCGTCCGGGTTCTCAGGGGACGGACGTCAGCAAGCCACCACTTCAGAGAGAGGCAGGTGGTGATGGGCTTTGGCAGATGGCCGAGTGTGAGTCAGACACTTGGTGGCTTTGCTCCAGCTGCGGGGCTGCCTCAGGAGCCCTGTGTGTTTGGAGGGAATTTCTGCCCCTGCAGCAAATGTGCCGGTCCCAGCGTGACCCTCCGCCCCGCTGAGGGGAGGAAAACCTGCGCCAGGTAATGAGCACAGATTGTGGCCTCCTTTGCTACCCTGACCCTTCCTGAATGAGAACGAAGTAAGATGCAAACTCATCTCTTCAGTTTGTTTTCCCGCATGTTCTCGGTGCAAATGTAGTAAGAGGAAGTGGACTGAAGCCCAGCAGTGTCCCTTGTCTGTAAGGTGACACTTGGGATCCTGCTGGTCCCACCTGCTGCAACTGTCGTCATCCTTAGCCCCCATAAGAGCCTGAGCTCCAAGGACAATGGCTGTTGCCCCCTCGAGCTGTGTGGACCCATCCTGACCTTGCAGGTTTCCTTGGTCTCTGTGTACTTACCGGCATGGTGCGTCTTAGCAGGCTTAAACCAGGCCAGTGCGCATTCCGTTCCGACGTGGGTGGACCAAAGGTCTCCTTGTCTGTGATTCAGGGAACCTCTAGCAATCGGATGCGGGTGGTTGAGAAAGATTCTGGGTCCCCCCCCAGCTGTGGGATGGGGTCTCTGCTGCCCACAGGGAGTGGAGGTGCTTCGTGCTCACCCGCTGGGCAACGGAGAGGCCCCTCCTTGGAGTGGGTCTTTGGGACGTGACAGAGAGCTTGCCAAGACTGTCAACCACGAACTGCCGCCCCTGCCACAAATTCCCGTGGGAAGAGATGCAGACAGCGGGGAGCCTGCACCAATGCCGCGCTCGTGGGAAGGAAATTGGGGCACCGGGGGCCTCATGGGCTTCATCCCCATCACGCGGAAGGCAGTGGGGCCCCCGGCGTGAACATCAACTTCAGTGCCTGGAGTTCTGGCTCTGGCATCGGCGGGCTGGGCCCTGGGTCAGGCAGTTGTCCCCTTCCTGCCCCACACTCTGTCACTGCCCTGTGCTGCTCATTTGTCTGCCATTTCCCCTCACAAGTCTGGGAACTGCTTGAGGACACCGACCGTTTCTTCCTTGTGATGTTTGCCCCGTATCTGGCGCGGTGGTGCAAGGCTTCACAGGTGACTGAGGAGCAAGTCCGAGTGCTCATCTCTCCTCGGATTCCGAGCTCGGACTGCAGAGGATGGAGCGGGCTGCAGGCCATGAGATGCGAACATCTGTCCGCGCAGAGGGGCGCAGATGTTGGGTCCAGGACCTTGATCCTGTGATGACAAGCTGCTGTTGGGGTCACCAGTGGATCCCCTGGAAGCGCAAAGATGCATTTGGGCAGAGACTCAGTGGCCTCAGCTGGAAGGGCTCCACTTTAATTGGACGTGGAAGATGGAAGCCCCCCGTGAAGAGTGTGAAAGCAGAGGTGGCGGTGCCATGTGGCATGGTAGAGGAGTGCCTCTGGGGGCCCTCTGCAGGAGGAAGCAGAGAAGACAAGAACAGTCCTCCTTCCAGGTGGAGGGAGTGGACACTGCAGGTGCCACAGGGAGGTGGGTTGCCTGCAGGCAGAAGCACAGTGCAGGGCAAGTGAGGGAGAGAGAAGCTGCGTCTTTGTGGGGTGTGGCGGGGTCCTGAGCAGATGGGGAGGTCAGTGCTGCCGTCCTGCACGTCACAATGCTGACGTCAAGGTCAAGGAGAAAGAACAGTGGGATAGGGTGGTGTCAGCTATTGGGGCATTGGCCAGAATGACATTCCCATGGGAAGAGATGACCGGATAAATGTGTTACTGGCCTTCCTGGTTGCTACCAGGGGTGGGGGTTGGCCCTGCCGTCTAGCCCTCCTCAGGGACATCCACGAGTGCTCTCTGGCCGAACCTGGCCTCGAGGCAGACTTCCCAGCATGTCGAGCAGGTGGCTTGGCTCCGTGTTTGAGCACCCCATGAGCTTTGAAGTTGCCTCCGGGGACTGCTCTGAGCAGTGGAATCCCGAGTCTGTTCTGCAGCGTCCTGGAGCAAACAGCGAGCGCTTCTGTAGCTTGGCCGCGGTTGCTTCCTGAGCTTCGGTTTTGAAAAAGCCTGTGAAGAAGACGGCAGCAGGAGCAGGTGACCAGGAAGAGGTCTGGCCTGTAGGAGGTGGCAGAAGGCCAGCCCAGTGTGGGCTGAGGTCCACAGAACACTCTCTAGATGACCAGAGGAACTTAACGATTATGAGAATGTGGGTCCTGTGAGGGAAGGGACTGTCCTCGTTGCTGTACGGAGCCGATCGGAGCTTTCAATCCATCTGCTAGGTAAACTGTCTGGAATTTTGTGGGAGATCGATCTCAGTCTGTCTGTAATTTCTAAATCTAGTCTTTTTCCACCCCCAGACTGGGGCCTTTGCCCTGCAGTCTTTGGTGGGGGATGATCTTCTATTGAACTGATGCCTTGGGCGTCGCCAGCTGCAGTTCTGTATCCGGCTTGCAGGTCCTTTCCGAAACCCAGGCTGCTGTTCCCTCAGGTCTGGAGGGGGTACACTCACTCACAGCAGCTCAGGGACCTGCTGAGCTCCCTTGAAGGATGGGCACTTCCTTTCCAACCTGTTCAGAACCGTTCTAGGGAGAGATATGTCTGTTAGGCGGCGGGAGGTGAAAACTCCACCTTCATCATCAGGAGAGCCCGGGTTGGACAGAGAATGTGGCTCACCTTTGTGGGCACCTGGGCGTGCAGTGCACCCAGCACTGAGCTCGCCCTTGAAAACAGCAGCTCCTGGCAGGCAAGAGGGGAGGGAGCCCAGAGCAGCAGATGGATCTGCCGAGGGCCAGAGGAGGGGCCCAGCCAAGCAGGAGAGGCCCCCTCCCTACCCTGGGCCTGAGGGAAGGTGGGAGCCAGGGGTCACAGAGAGGTGAGAAGCCCAGGGGAAAGGGCTCCCACTTCTGATAGCTCCCAGGAAGGTTGTCAGGATGCCCTGGGCCTGTGGGTATTCAACACTTTCTCGTTGGAATTGGGGAAGTCAATAGCACGAGCATTTTGTGTGCAACTTGGGTAGTTCATTTTGCAACATGACTTCATTAGCTGTGCTCTGCCTCACCCCAGGAGTTCCGGCAGAGGTTGTGGGTCCTGACCTTGCCGGAGAGCATGCCCATGGGTGAGCACCGCGTCCCCTGGGATACTCACATTTGCAGGCCCATAGGGCCCTGCTCCCATGGTCACGTGTCTCCCCATGGACATGCTAATCCTGAGGCCACACCACTGCTCTCCAAAGGCATCTGTTATGGAAGCAGCTCTGGTGAGGGTTCTAGTTTGGTGAGGCGCTTTCACCCTGGGTTGTCTGTGGAGTCAGATGTTTGCACGCAGGAGTGCACACAGGCTTTTCTGTGAATAGTGCAACCTTCAAAAGGCTGAGGTGAGTTGTGAAACAGCCCGCCTTGCGATCCAGGGAGGCAGAGGTGGGAATCCGCATGTAAGTGAACTGTGGGCGCCACGTGCTTTGATTTGTCTCGAGGAAGTAGAGGCTGTTGCTGAGATTGCAAGAGAATAAAAACACCGCAAGACGAAAGAGTTCAAAGAAAAATAAGCCCCTACCTTTCGTCCCTTAATTGCAAGACAAATTCAAACCAGAGAGCGGCGCTGTGGGATGTTAGCATGTCAGAGGGTGTGGATGGGATTTGAAAACTGCAGCTCCTTATGTGGTGGATTAATCTGTTTCAACAGACTCCGATTTGGTATTAGTATCTTATGCCAGGGGTGTTTTTCATTTAGGTCACTTGTGTGAACAGAAAGTGAGAAATTCTAGCTCATTGCCACCGTCCAGATCTCGAGTCATCTCGAACGACGGAGCCAGCCGCTTCCCTGGAGGCAGCCTCCTCACGAGCGGAGGCCCGAGACGTGAGTTAGCTGTCGGACCCACGTGCGGGTGGGTTGGAGGAGTAAGGTGGAAAGCTGCATGCGTGTGCACGTGTGTGTGTGTACATGTGCATGTGTGTTTGTGGTGGAGTCGATACCCCTCTGCGTCTAGGGCCAGGCTGTGGCTGCCCCTTGGGTCTGGGGAGGCGTACCCATTTAGAGCAGCTCGGAGACCTGTGAGCTCCCTTGGAAGGACGAACACTCCCTTTCCATCCTCAGTTCAGAACCATCTAGAGAGAGACTGTCAGGCAGCTGCAGATGGAAACTCCACCTGTGTCCAGGAGACGTGGTGCTCCTGGGGACCCACGGGCCCCATCAATCCCCCACATTCACCATGCCCAGCACCCTCCAGCCCGGGCTCTGCAGACACGGAAATGCTAGTCCTGCAAGTGGCATTTGTGTCTGATCAGGGGAAGAGTGAATGAAGAAGGGGTCAGGATGAATACAGTCTGATTTTTAAAAATGAATTTGAAATTTCCCATGCTGTTAATAGAAGAAACAAACCAGTTATGAAGCTTGGGAAAGAAAGAGCTGGGTTTGGTGAAAATGTTTTTCACAGCAGGGAAGCTCTGAAGTTTTTTCCGTCCCCTTAAAATGTAAGACTTCACAGACCTGAATGGAAAATACCTGTCACTTGAATTACAAGTGGGAAGTGCTCTTTCAGTAGCATTTCCCCCAGTCTTGCAGACGATCTTGTGTGAATTGAGAGCCGCCATGAGCTTTCTGTGTGGATGGCCCCTGCTTGTTGGCCTTGAATGGTTCTCCAGGGAGGATCAGCGCTGTGGCTTGTTAGAACTGGGAGGGTCCTTTGGGTTGCCTCTTGCAAGGCCTCCAGGATCCCCCAAGTCCCCCGAAACTCCAGGTACAAGTCTGTACATTTTCCTGGGAAGAGGGGGCCTGAGATGCCTGAGGGGGTCTGTGGTCCGTGATCTATGAAATAAGCAAGGTGACGTCTATTCTGGGCTGGATTCTGCATTTTAATATTGAAGAAACCGAGGCAAAGAGAGGTCAGGGGACTGGGCCAGATGTGGTCAAGGGTGGTGGATTTGCCTTGGAATCGATTCCCTGCTTTGGGGTCGGTGCTGCTTCCTCCCCAGTGGGTCCCTGTGACCGTCTGGAGGGCAGGTGCAGAGCCAGCTCCACGGAGTGGGAGGTCCCCGCACTCCAGGAGCAGAGGCTGAGGTCGTTTGAAACCTTGGCCTTAGGTTGTCTTCAAGGAGCTGGAACCAGGAAGAATTTGTTGAGAGGATTGAGAACTCCTGGGGTCAGGGTCCTTCAGTTCCTGTTGTGATCAGAACCAGGACAGGAGGTGTCCGCTAGAAAGCTCAGGTCTCACCCGTCGGGTGAAGTCCTGGGGTTAGGAAGCCACACAGAATTTTAAAAAGGTCCTCAGTGCTTCCTTCCTCCCCAAGTGTGGTCCCGCACGGTCGCTCGGAACCAAGAGAGATGTTCGTTGGGTGTTGCAGAGTGAAAACCTGAGCCCACTGTAAGCCCCCAGCCTGCCCACGCGGGGCTGTGGCCACGGCAGCTCAGACCCGATCCCGCCTGGGCCTCCCCTCACGCCTGTGCCCCAGAGACACGTAAAATGTTCCTGGGGCAGCCATTGAAGGCCAACTCGTGGCATCTGAAAAGCAATTAATGGCTTTGAGATGGAATGGTGGCGAGGAACCTGGAAACAGCACTTGCTTGCCTGTGACAAAGGAGAGGTGGGAGAGGAGACAAACGGCTGTGCCGCGGCGAGGGGCGCTTTGCCATGGCTGCCCACGTCTGCGCATGGAGGGCTGGGGAGAGGTCAGGCTGGTGTGCTTCCTGTGGGAAAGTTCTGGCGGTGCCTGAGAGCCTGGAAGGACCCAGGTCTAAGGTGCGGTGCCCCTCACCTGCCCTGCCTGTGCCGGGTTGAACGATTGCCGTGGCCTCGTCAGAGCGCAGTTCTGCTGACGCCTTGAGCCCCAGCTCTGTATCAGAGAGGAACTGTCCACCCAGTGTGGCTGCTCTTTTGCCTGCTGGCGCCGGGCTCTTTGGCTTCTGTTTGCCAAACGGCTTTCGTCGTGTGTCCAGGCTGTGAGTAGAGCCACCCTGGAAGGAGATGTGCTGCCCCGAGGCCAGGCAGTGCGGGGCGGCTGGGCACAGAGCTGAGAGCAGGAGCTTTGGGCCAGGCCTGCTCGAGCTCCGCCTGCCCTGACAAGCTGGGGGCCTCTGGCCACGGGTGCAACCCCCGATTCCTGATGTGAACTCCGGGCTCACGACACCCCACACGGGGCGTGTTTGAGGGTCGAATGTGACAGTGCGTCTGAGGGTCAGGACGGTCTCCCGGAGGCGCTGCCTGTGAGCGGAGGCTGGCAGTCCTGGGCGAGGGTGTCAGTGGGCCTTTTAATGTCCTGAGAGAGTGAGTTTCTAGAACACTGACTTGTTCCCCTAGAAAACCACCTGATGGTAACTTTGTATCTAAGCACCACGGTCAGAACTTTTACTTTAGAGGCTGGTGTAAGGGGATGCTGTGGCGACCACGCTGTAGGGTCACCACCAGTACCTGCTTCTGAGCTGTGCAGGCGGGGCCTGCCAAAAGAACCAGACGCGCTCTGCGCTCCCTCCCTGGATAAGGCGGCCCTGGGAGCCCGTCCCGTCTGCTTCTGGAGGGAAGGGCGATGCGGTACGTCCACCCTGACTACTCCTCTGACCCTTCCAGTGGGGAAGAACGTGGTCCAAGCGCAGAAGTTGGCTGATGTGGACAGCGAGCTGGCCGCCGTGCTGCTGACCCACACCCGGGGGACCAAGGCGCCCCAGGGCGCTGGCTGCGAGGTGGATGCCGTCCGCAGGCGCAAGCTGGAGCGGATGCGGTCCGTGCGCCTGCAGGAGGCCGGAGGAGAGCTGGGCCGGCGCGGGATGAGCCTGTTGGTGAGGGTTTGTCGTTGCGCTACTGCCTGTCCCCTCCTCCAGCGCTCGCTCACCTTCCTCCCGCTAGCTGCGGAATGTAAGAGAATTGGACTTCTTCAGCCACAGGGGAAATTTTCAAGTCAGAATTATCAGGAGAGCTTTTAATAAAAGCCGATTCTTGGGCCTCCCCCCTGGAGATTCTGGTTCTAACTGGCTGGGGAGGGCGCCTTCGGAGCCTGGGCTTTTAAGGAAGTTCTGCAGGCGATTCCGAGGTCCCCCAGGTTTGGGGACGAGAGCTCTGAATGACCTACGTGTCTTGGTTGCCAGTGTAATTATTCTGACTAGAAAAGTTTCCTTTTTCGGCTGATAATCTAAATAGGCCCTCTAGTATTTTGCAGCTAAGAAATAGGTGGAGAGAATTGTTGTACCTTGTGGGTTCGTAGAAGACAGAACCGCAGGTTCATCTCCCTGGGGTGGGGGTGGGGGTCGCGAGTGACAGAAAGCCCAGCGCGGTGGCCTGCAGCGTCTCCAGGGCCCGCCCTCTGGTTTCTGGCTCAGCCACTCCACGTGTGAGCAGGCGTCCTGACACGTCGAGCCTGGGACCGACTTGGTCACCGCTCGGTTTTCTTCACGCAGCAAGCCTGTCTGTAGACACGGTAGCTGGATCGTCCCAGGGCAGTGCCGGCCTGGGGCTGCATCTGGCCCCTAGGGCCTGTTCTCCCTACCTCCCCTGCCCTCTGTGTCCTGGCTTCACTCTCCGGCCCCTGCAGTGACACATCCCAACAGCTGCAGGATTGCTCCTCGTGGGAGCAAAATGGTGGCTCTAGTCCCAAGTTTCATGTTTTCATCGGATGCCAAGAGCCACAGAGAGAGCTTTACTTTCCAGAATTCCAGCACAGGGCTCCCTGGGCCTCATCACTCTGCCGGGGCAGCGGGTCCGTCCCTGAACCAGTGCCTGTGTCCCCTGGTGGGTGGGCTGGGTGCTGGGACATAGGGGCCCAGTGAACCTCATCACCCTTCCCAGCATGTAAGGTAGGAGTGTGGCTGATGGGGACTAACGTGTCACTTCTGTTTTACTGATGACTCTTTATTGATAAAGCTAATAATGGAAATTGGCTGATATCCATAGGCAAGCGCATCTCCTAATACTGAGCCCGGGGCCTGCAGACATACTCACCCCGGCACGGGTAATGCCAGGCTGCTGCGGGCCTTCTCCTCAGGCAGGTCTTGTTGCTAGACCTACAGCCTGGACAGGAGCAGTGTGAGCACTTGGTGCTGTCTTCAGGCGGGTGGATCCCAAAAGAAAGGGGAGAGGGAGGGCAGGGCCGTGCCCGCCTGGCTCACGCTCTGGCATCAAGAGTCACCCTGTCTCCTATGGGGTGCTCGGCTAACGGCGTCTCTGCGGGATGGAAGGAGGCAGGAGTGGATGGGAAGGTGCCCTCCTCACAGCCCCCAGGTTCATGCCGTCCCTACCTATCGCTTTGACCATCAAATCCACGGCGACCCGGGGCATGGCCTCACTGTGCCTCGCCCAGGAGAGCCAGTCTAATAGGCCAGCTTCGCTCCCGTCTCCAAGTGGCTACACCCCTAAAACCCATCCCTGTGTCATCCTGGGGACCACTCCACTGGTGGACAGAGTAGATTCTGTCCCCTCAGCTGGGACGTGGGTCAGAGCAGTGCACTATTTGAATCCCAAGGCTGAAAAGCTGCTCTCTGTTCTGTTTCGCATCCTACCCCTGCCCGGCCCCCTTGTCCAGCACAGCCTGTCAGAGGTTCCACTGTGTTGAAAAGCTGTGGGGACCGCAGTCTTACAGAGGGAGGCCTCTGTGTCAGCACGGCCACCTCCCGTTTCCAAATCCCGGGGGGAGGTTCGAGGCTTGGCATCAATGCCTCTGCAGAGGAAAGGCCAAGGTTCTGGATAGTAGAAAGGTCATATCCAAAGTCATTTAAGTCAGAAATCAAATTTCCTCCTCACCTTTTGAGTTCAAGTCTGAAAGCATTCGAGTCAGCCTGTCCCCTCTGACATCACGGCCTCCTGGAGTTAGACTGAAGGTTGCTGGTGCCTGGAGAGTTTTTGGAGCAGCTGCAGCCTGGCTGACGCTGAGGCATGGGGGTGCCCTGTCCAGGCCTCAGATACTGCACGGCAGCTGTGATGGGCCTCCCTTTTCACGCGAGGCACACGAGACAAGCAAGCCAGTGTCCACGCTGCAGAGCACATCTTGCTGGCCGAGACCACTGGGTCCCTGGGCCACCAGGGAGGGGTGGCCAAGCCTCGCTAAGGCAGCGTGCGGGTTGTCCACACTCTGTGCTGGGGTGTCTGCACCCTGACCCAGTGTGAGGTCATTTGGGGCACTGAGACTCAGCGCAAAAGGAAGATGTCCCCTCCCCTGGACTCTGGTGCCACACTGGGGACCTGGCCAGGTGAGCCCTGTCACCAGTCTTAGTTTTGAGGCCATTTTCTCCTCTTTTGTTTGAAACCGCTGTTGCCTGTTTGCCACCGTGCTTGGCGCCAGCCCCGCAGCTGCGAAGACCTCTCAGAGCATGCAGTGCAGACTCCCCCTCCCTGGGCCGCCACCTGCAGGCCAGGGGAGAGGGGAGCGGGGCTGCTGTGTGGACTCTACAGGGGAAGGACGGCCAGTGAATCCGTCCAGCACCAACTGAGACCCACCCCGACCACATGGTTAAGGAAGGGGGTGGGCCTGTTCTGGTCATTTTCCAGAAAAAATTGGTATTTGGGGTGGGGGTGTACAGTTGGGGGCCAGCAAACCGTGCCCCTCGAGGAGGGTAGCATGCCCAGGACTGTGTCCACCCACTGGCCCCCGTCTTGCAGGCTCAACAGAGCGTCCGTGCACAGCACTTGCGAGACCTGCAGGTCATCGCCGCCTACCGGGAGCGTGCCAAGGCCGAGAGCATTGCCAGCGCGCTGAGCCTGGCCATCACCACGTGGCACACGCTCTACGCCACGCTGGGCACCGCCGAGTTCTTTGAGTTCACGCTGAAGAACCCCCACAACACGCAGCACACGGTGACTGTGGAGATTGACAACCCTGAGCTCAGGTGGGTCTCGGCAGCCCCTCCTGTCGCGGCCCCAGCCCAGGTCTGAGTCGGGCACATCCGGGCGCCTCCTCTGAAGTGGCTGGAGTCCACCTGCTCCGCCGAGGGCCACTCTGGGTGGGTGGGCTGCGTCCTGCCTCGGGGCCCTGCCTGGAAGAATTCCTCCCTCCCTAGCGTCGTCGTGGATGCTCAGGAATGGAAGTGCTTCAAGGACGCCGCCGGCCTGCACACGCCGGTGGAGGAGGACATGTTCCACCTGCGTGGCAGCCTGGCCCCGCAGCTCTTCCTGCGCCCCCGCGAGACCGCCCACGTCCCCTTCAAGTTCCAGAGCTTCTCCGCGGGGCTGCCAGCCTCGGCGCAGGTGTGGTTGTCGGACACATGAGGGAAATGCCATTCAGCTAGATGACAGTGGGAAACCAAGGACACCCTCAGGTTCTGCCCGTGTTCTTCCTGTGCCTGTGCCGCTGCCCGTTACTCAGCGGGAGCCGCGACACCCGCGCTGTGCGTGGCAGCCGGACCTTCTCCTCCTGCCTGGCGGCTCTTCCTGCCTAGTGCCTGTCCCGAAGTCTGGACTGTCTCCTCCTAATTCTCTTTAGTAAATTGGTCAGAGGTTTTCTGACACCTTGGCGGAGCAGTGGCTTGAAATCTCCTAGCGTTTCCTGCTCTGCAGTTGATGTCGCTTGCCCCCCTCACCGTGGCATTGCTCCCCACAGGAGGTGCAGCCTTGGGGGTGGTGAGCGTGGGAGGCATGAGCCGCACCCGTGGGGGAGAGCAGGAGGGGCGCGGGTGTTTCAGCTCCCAACTGACCCTTGGAGGCAGCTCTGTGGGAGGGTGGTCGTCACCTGAGGTGGGCTTGAGGGACTCCCGAAGGTGCACAGTTTCCATGCTGGCTCTTGGGACAGGCCGTAAGGACAGTGGTGGGGGGAGGGACTCAGGCAGATTTGGGTTATGATCTGGGATCTGCCACTTCCTACCTGACGACAGCCTCAGCTTCCTCTTTGGTGTGACGAGGCTGGCTGACGACAGTCGCTGCCCAGGGGTTGGCCTGAGAGTGAACGAGATCATCCTGAGCTCTTAGCCAGGGGTGGCAGCTCCTCCCACGCGTGCAGGTGCTGGTCACGCAAGAGCGCCACCTGCTGACCCACTCACGCTGATTGGTTTCTCACAGGCCTCTGCTGAGCTGAGCTCCGAGAAGGGCACAGACGCCGGCTCACCTTGGACATCCAGCACGATGCCCACCAAACGTGCCAAGGTGAAGGGGTGGAGGGAGACAGACTGGTCCCGGGCAATCCAGAGATTTCCCATGGTCTTGCAGTGCAAGCCGGTGTCTCCCTAGTAGACTGAGCCAAGTGTGTCACCAGTTTGCTGTCACGTGGGTCCTTTTGGGCCTGACCCTTGTGCCCTTCTCTGCCCTCCTGGTCAGGCCAGGTGTAGGGCAGGGGTGGGATGGGGGCCGGGCCTTGGAGGTAGACTTTCTTCATCTCCTAGCAGGGCAGTGGCAGCTTGCCCAGATGCTGGGCAGCCCGAGTGAGGGTCTAGGCTGGACACGTCCCTGGCAGCTAGCCTCCTTGCCACCCTGCATTCTCTGGGTGTGAAGCCCAGCGGTCCCCGTGGCTGCTGCTGTTGCCCTCGAAGCACAGCTCGCACAGCCTGTGGCCACTGCACCAGCCTGACCCACGGGTCTCCTGGTTGCCTGTGTGCATGCGTGTGCGTGCGTACGTACGTGCGCGTGTGTGCGCGTGTGCGCGTGTGTGGTTCTTCCTGGAGTAAGTGTTTTGTCGGGAGCTACCCTGAGACTATGTGTGTGTCCTGTTCTTCGTCACACTCTTACCCACGGGGTCTCAGCGTCCGCTGATGACGCTGCCCCCGTCGGTAGCTGGTGTGGTGGTTGCCCAGCAGGGATTTTCAAATCCCATTGTCCCCGCCTGCGTTTGTCGTCGGCATTCTAAGTTGGACAGAGCTTCGCCTTCAGCCCGTCCATTCATTTTGTTTATTTTTTGTATCTTCCCGAACTGCGGATTCCTATTACTCATTTCGTTACATCATTATTTATTTTGCTGCTCATGCTCGTAACATCCCCGACTGACCAGCGGCAGCCCCTTCGAGCTGTGTCCTTGTGCTTCTCTGAGCCCTTCCTCGTCTGGCACAGACGCTCCAGGCTCAGCTTACGTTCCCCTGCTCCATTTCTGGAACATCAGCCATTTAGCTAAGTTTTCTTTGGGGGGAGGATGATACTCAGAAACCAAGATCTGGGTGCTCAGTGTGCTTGTCATTGCTGGGGTGTTGCTGCTGCTCGTACCTCTCAGCAGCGAGACCTAAGAGGCGCGTGCCTGTACACACGCATATGTGACGTGTGGTGTCTGGGGTGCATATACGTGTGTGTAGGGGCACAGACTTCTGTTTCTGGCTGTGTTGAAGACCGTGAATTTACACCTTTTCTTCCAGTGCCAGTCTGACATCGCAGGGTTTACTCCCACTGTCTGTCTTTCTTCCGTGTTTCTAGTTCCCATTTCTGCTAGTGAGAAACCTGGCTTCCATTTTCTTCAATATATTTTCTTATTTGCCCAATTCCTCTGAATATAACCCATCCGCTGACCACGCTGGTCAAGCCCCTTCGGTCCGACGCTGCTGGCCACGCTGGCTGTACGTGTGCTTGTGTGTGTTTCCCAGTGTCATTGCCAGCCGGAGCAAGGCCACTGCAGTTAAGATTTCTGGGTGGTGCTTTTGTCCTAGGTCCTTTTTGTCCTGTTGTTTTAAAGTTACTTAATGAATTCTTCTCTGGACGGTTATATCACCAACTTGATACACAGATTTGTTGCAGTTTATTTTCAATACATAGAGATTGCTTTTTTAAAAATTTAGTTTTAAATTTAACTGAGAACATTTAAACAAGTCCAAAATCAAACTATAAAACAAGATATATTCAGAAAGATCTTGCTTCCATTCTTACCCCTCCCCCACTCTTCCTCTATGTGTGCTTGTGCATATGTGTATAAGCATGTGCACACGTGTGTGCATATATGCGTATACATGTGTCTGTGGGCACTTTTTTGTGTGTGTGTGTGTGCTGTGATATAGATATCTCTTTTATCTGCTGTGTCCATTTTTGTCTCTTTTTTGGACATGTGTTTTTTTTTTGTATATCTTTTTTTAAAAACAGGAGGCAAGTTTCTATGTCTAGTCCCTTCAGTTGATGCCCGGCCTCTTTTTACCGTCTGGGATCAAAGAGCTTGTGCCAATGTGCTCGACCATGAACGCAGCGACCCCCAGTACCACCCACGAGGACCTGGTGGCGTTAATGTTGAGATCCTTCTAGAATGACTTCTGCACAGACACACGCAGGGTGTAGGAAGGCGGGATTACGGGTGGAGTTGTTTTTGGCGTTGGGCCTGCAGAACTTCTCCACTGGCGTTCAGGGATGCCTCACTTGGAGAAATGGCAGCAGCGGGTCCACATGGGACCCTGTGCTGGGTGCCGGCCTGGGCTTGCTCAGCGTCCCCTCACGTGGGCCCCTGCCACTGCAGGCTCTGTCCCTGCCTCTGTGATGGTGCCTGAGCTTCCCGTCTCATCTGAGGGGGTGAGCGGGTCTTGGTGACGGGGGAGATCCCTGCGCTGCCGAGGGAGGGACGCGGAGCTGCCCACGCACCGCCTGCCAGTCGTGACGCCGGTGTGGTCTGCTCGCCTGCAGGTCCTGTTCCGAGCGGGCGGTGGCAAGCCCATCGCTGTGCTCTGCCTCACCGTGGAACCGCAGCCCCACACGGTGGACCAGGTCTTCCGCTTCTATCACCCAGAGCTCACCTTCCTGAAGAAGGCCATCCGCCTGCCTCCCTGGCACACACTTCCAGGCAGGTCCCCTGCTGACCCTGCGGCCGGCATTTTGCAGGTTCAACTGTTGAAAACAGTGTCTCCCCAAGGGTGGCAGATGGCATCATTACTTCATCCCCTGGTGCCGTTACATCAACAACATGTGGTGCCACCTGCCTTTGTGATCCGAAATGGCAGCCTTCCTGCCTGCCGTGCAGTGCCAGGTGCACACGTGGTGGCTGATTCCACTGTTCTAAAAATCGGCTCCCGTGGTCCAGGTCTGTCCCTATTAGGTGGGGGTGGGGGGTCGTGCCTGGGGGACACTTGCTGCCTCAGCGGACAGCCCCCTGTTTCCAGTGGTGCCTTCAGAGCACAGTGAGGCCTTCTGTGCTCCAGAGCGCTTCTTGGTGCTTCCCTTTCTATGGTCCCCTGAAAAGGTAGCTGGGAGACGTGCCACGTCGGGGCGGAAGGGCCGGTGTCCTCGCGGGAGTGCACGGGGCGCTGGTGCCGTCCCGGGTAGAGGTGGGGGTGTCCATTTGCCCAGCAGGTGTTTGCTGAGCACCTGTGACAGGCCCTGGCCTGTCCTGGAGGATGTGACACGCAGGGCTGCCTGCAGCTCAGGCCCAGGCCGTGGAGACTTTTTTGACGTTTTCCCTATTCCAGGTGCTCGGGTGGGAATGCCCGGCGAGGAGCCCCCAGTCCACGTTCGATGTAGTGACCCGAACGTCATTTGTGAGACCCAGAATGTGGTAGGTTGTGCTGTGGGCCCGGCTCAGGCAGGTCCTTCCCGCGAGTCCCCTCCCCACTGCCATCCCCTGCCCTTCGCCGGTCTCCTGGGGGCCTCTGCGTTTTAGGTTTTTGACTAAGTGGTTTCTTTCCAAGGTGCTAAAGGCTATTGCGACATCCTTATGGGAACTTTATGAATGTGTTTCTAGTTTTTCCACTAGCAGATCAGTTCCTTGATCATCTGAATTTAAATTTAAAAAAGGCATGAAGCAAAGTGAATAAAGTGAATGGTAATTAAGGCACTTATTAATTACCATTGTGTAAAGGATAACGGTGATAATTGTGTTATGACTAGTTAGGAAGCAGGATAACATCTCCTGCAGAATGTAATTATCGAGATCCATACAAAATCAAGAAGCTAATGATTTTCTCCTTTGCAGTGAACAGAATAGTGAATTCCGACTAGTACAGAAAATTAATAAATTCGCTGGGGTAGGGGCCGACTCCCTCCTGCTGTGGCCAGGCCAGGCTGGGTCAGGCCGAGCTGAGAAGGGGCGGCACGCGCCCTCATGTGCCCCCATCCGTCGGCAGGGCCCCAGGGAACCTCGGGATGTGTTTCTGAAGGTGGCTAGTGGTCCAAGCCCGGAGATCAAAGACTTCTTTGTCTTCATCTACTCGTGAGTGTGCAGGCCCCAGGTCTGGGGACAGGGTGGAGGCGGGGAAGAGGCAGGTCTGGGAGCTGCTGGTGTTTTCAAAGTGGGCCCAGCCCCTTCCTAAGCTCCCTAGCGGGAGCTCCTCCGCCCTCTGCTTTGGGAGGCGGGATTCTGCTGGTTCTGTGGCCAGCCCGGCCCTGGGCAGTGTCCTCTGTGCTCTGGAGCGGCTCACGCAGCCTGAGAGACGTGGGACGTGTTGTGTGCCCACCAAGAGAGGAAACAGCAGTGCCAGGAGTGGCCCAGCTGGCTGTCGTCATTGTTTCCGTGCTGAATCTTCAAGCTGAACTCAGGGAATCAGGCTGTGGTCCCTCCTGGAGAGACGGGACATGGCCGGCCATTGTCCTTTATGCCCGAGGACGGTGGTGCAGTCGCCTCCGTCTCTCACCTTTTGGGTTGGGTTGTTCCTTTCCTTTTTTCTTTTGAGTTGGGTTTTCCGGGCCTTTTGGGATTCTTTCGGGGCGGTTTTGACTGGGGGGTTCCCTTGCGTTGTTCTTGGGAAGGGGGGGGGGCCGGACCTCACCATCTGTTTGGGGACTGAGGCTTGTCCAGGACACATATTTGGCCTGTGCACCCTTGGGCCGGGTAGTGTCCTGGGTGAGAGACGCGAGGTCTAAGCCGCACCGCCACCCCCAGAGCGTCTGGTGTAGGTGGGAAGGCGAGAGGCCAGGGGTGAGAGCAGCCGGGCCCAGCGCTGTCTCCTCGGCCCCCGTCCTCCAGGGCTGTCCCTGTGCGGCCTCCTCAGCCTCCTGGCAGCGCCCGTCCACCTGTCTCGGGTTGGTGCTGCCGTCCTCAAGGACAAGTGCCCACGGCTCCTGTCCTGCTGCAGGGACCGCTGGCTGGTGGCGCCCGTGCAGACGTGGCAGGTCTATCTGCACTCCCTGCAGCGCGTGGACGTCTCCTGTGTCACAGGCCAGCTGACTCGCCTGTCCCTTGTCCTTCGGGGGACACAGACAGTGCGGAAAGTGAGAGCTTTCACCTCACACCCCCAGGAGCTGAAGGTACGGCTTTCTGGGGGCTCTTCTGGGCCCTCCCCTCACCCTGCCCTGGAGACGGGACAGCAGGCATTTGGCCGCAGTGCAGCGGTCCTGATGCTTTTACAGCACCTTCAGTGACCGATGCACTCTTTTACCAAAGCCTTCATTAAAATCGCCTTCTATGAGACCTGTCGTTGGGGGTGAGTGACATATGAATAAGCCCCAAGGCCAATTTTTAGAGTTACTGAGAGGTCAATAGTAGCGGGGACTCTGGAATCGGCAAAGCCACAGTCACACACCTGGATAGTGAGGACAGCGCGGATCCCAGCCAGTGTCTTAAACCGGAGCTGGTTTCAGTTCTGTCTCTGCTGAGGTGGCACACGGGGTGGTGACCGTGTACGAGGAGGGGCCTGCCCAGCGCAGACCTGAGACGTGGGCTGGCCCTGCACAACCTGTGGCCCGGGCTCCCCGGCCTGCCGGGCTGCAGGTGCTCGGGGAATTCCTCGTTTGCCACCCGCGAGAGGCTCTGCCCTCAACCTGCCGCTCTTGTTCTCGAAGACGGACCCCAAAGGGGTCTTTGTGCTGCCACCTCGTGGGATGCAGGACCTGCATGTCAGCGTGAGGCCCCTCAGGGCGGGCAGCCGCTTCGTCCACCTCAACCTGGTCGATGTGGACTGTCACCAGCTGGTGTCCTCGTGGCTCGTGTGCCTGTCCTGCCGCCAGCCACTCATTTCCAAGGTCTGTATGTGTGACAACGAGGGCTGAGGGGAAGGGGGCTCCCTGCCAAGGCACCACAGGGCCTCAGCCATGTGCCTCGGGCCAGCAGCGCTCGGGTTCTATGTAGGGCTGGGGTGGGGAGTGGGGGGCTTGCTCCTGTGCTGTCTGTTCCCTGGGATGGACGCCCCAGAGAGCCTGTCTGTCCCGTCTACATGGAGGTCCCCTGGGTCTGGGGCACATGCGGTGCAGAGTAGGCTCAGGAAATCCTTGAAAAAGGGCCCAGCGGCTGTTCTCTGAGTCTGGCCACAGCATCCTCCTGTCCCTTCTGTCCACAGGCCTTCGAGATCACGTTGGCGGCAGGTGAAGGGAAGGGCGTCAACAAGCGGATCACCTACACCAACCCCTACCCCTCCCGGAGGACGTACCACCTGCACAGCGACCACCCCGACCTGCTGCAGTTCAAGGAGGACTCCTTCCAGGTGCAGTGGGCTGTCCCAGGGAGGTGTTGGCTTCTGCTTCCTGCGGTGACGCCTGGTGGGTGGGCGACCTGGAGGAGGTGGTTGGCACTGCCTTTAGGAGTGATTCCGTTGAGTCAGGAGCAGTCTTCAGAAAGTCCTGGGAGAGTGACAAGTGTCACCGTATACTTGGGTGACCCGATGTTTCTTCATTTGCCAGCGATTTAGCAAAGCTTCTCCCAAGAATGGGAAAGAGCGGTGTGCCCAGGGTCTTCACCGTAACACTGCAAAATTTATCTAAGAAAACGAGTGTGCTTTGGGTCTGGCTAACGTGTCAACCTGATCCCCAGGCACTGGGGTCTCTGGCAGGCTGCAGGTGCACCCGAGGGCTCATAGTCCTTGGTCAGCTCCTGCGAGCTGCTGTCCTGCTGGAAACGTGCACGACTGTGTGGAGAGGTGGCTGAATGAGGGAGCGGGGACAGCCCGGGGGTGGACACTGGGATTTTGACGCTTATTTCTAGGTCGGAGGAGGAGAGACCTACACGATCGGCCTGCGGTTCGCCCCTGGTCAGAGCGTGGGGGAGGAGGAGATTCTCATTTACATCAATGACCACGAGGACAAAAACGAGGAGACATTTTGCGTGAAGGTTATCTACCAGTGAGGGCTGGGGCGCTCGTCCTCCCTGCAGCCACCGGCCCCTGCCCACGTGCCTGCACTCGCTCTGTGCTCTGTCCTGCCCATGGCCTTTGGCCCTGGGGACCTGCCGATGACCTGTGAACTTGGCTGAGGGCAGAGCCCCTGATCACTTTTGTAACGCCCGCGTCTGGTTGAGCTACTGACAGCCACCGAGGTATGAACGTGAGCCCCGCGGTGGCTCTGATGCAGCCTCTGCCCGCAGTGCACACGAGGCCTGTGCTGTCTCCATCTGTAACTCTGTTTTGATTTGCTTTTAGCAAAATGTATTTTATGAATCATCCCAGATGATAAAATTATGTTTTTCTTACCGGATTTTGTATAAACATAATATATCATTTGCTATGCAATGTTTTATACTTCCATTAATATTACTTCACATCTGGTTTTTAAGTTATTGAGCAAAATATTATACTCGACTTTTTCATGTTTTCTCTTTTGACAGTTTTCTTGGCTTTTCTGTCTACAGCATAAGCCTGGTTTTCCCTTGAGGACAGTGTGGCTGGGACAGCCAGGTGGCTGTGCTCTGCGCCTTCATGGGGAGTCCACTCAGGCCTGTCCCAGGGCGGGGGGTGTGTTGCTGAGACCACAAGGGCGACTTCTGGGGGTGGGGGCAGGAGTCCGGCGGTGGAAGCGCCAGGGGCTGCGGGTCCTGCTCCTCTGAGTGGAGGGGGTGTGTCACTTCTGGCAGTGACCTGACAGGGAACACACGCCCCACTGGTACTGCAGTGATTAAAGTCTGCTGTTCGCAGGTAAGTTCGGTGGCTCTCAGTCCTGCTGCCTCCGTGCAGGCCCCGACGTGCCACGGTGCTTAGCTTTCAGAAAGAAATTCCGCGTGCACTTTAGTTAGATCCTGAAGGTCGAAACTGTGGCTTTCTCTTGCATCCTTGCCAGGCGGAGCGTGGAGACAGCTCGAGTGGGCGGCACTGGGGCAGCGTCTCCGTATCCGGTGCTGCGCTCTGACGGCTGCGCTGCGCTCCGCTTCCCCTGACTTGGAGGACTCCGGTTTCCCTAATGCCCTGCCAGAAATGGCCGGCGCACCTTTTCTTCTGAGGGAGCTGGATTTTCTCACAGGCTGGCCCCACCGTTGAGTCCCACCCAAGCGAACGATTGTAAGATGCCCAGTCCCCACGCAGGAAGCTCTTGGTGGTGCAAGGCAGCCCGGTGCCGGTTCCACCCAGCCCTGTGCTGCGGGCGGGGTCCGGATCGGGCCGGCGGCAGGGTGCTGTGCTCACGGACGTCGGTGATGAAACAGAAGCCACAGCTGTTAAGGAGATTCATCCATGGGCTGGAAAGTCAGTCGTGTGGATTTTTCCTTTTAACATTTTTGAAGTCTAGATCTCCCCACTTTCAGAGTGTCCCTCCTTTTAGGAAGCTACTGAAACATCCGTCAGAGACCAGGGCGGCCACTCGTCCGCTCACTCACTCGTCTGTAACTGTACCGCCTGCCTGCTGTGGTCCCTGCCTGTCAGAACTTCCGGAAAGTAGGGAAGGCAGGCGGTGGCAGGGACGTGTAGCTGTCGCTGGCCTGGAGCAGCGAGGGAGGGGTGCAGCCTCTCGTGAGAAGGTGGGGGTGGGGGAGGCTCCTCGGAAGACGGCTGAGCCCTGGAGGACGAGTCGGCCTAGGGGGCGAGTGGGGGAGGGGAGAGCCTCCCAGGCAGAGGGCACAGCAGTGACAGCCGAGGCCCTGGGTGGGGACATGGTGTGCCAGGGCCCTTAGGAAGGGCCCCGTGATGCTTGCCCCTTGCTTGCGCCCACACACATCCGACCTAGAGTATGGATGGAGCGCCCCTGCGTGCCAGAGGGGACAGTTGTGATCCCTGCCCCAGGACCTGCTTTCGGGAGGCCCAGATGATGAAAAGTGGGGCCGCCGTGTCCTGGCAGGCAGGGCTGACAGCCTGAGGACGAAAGCAGGGTGCGGCATAAAGGCGGGGTTTGCCCCAAGGAGGTGGCATCTGAGTAGAGGACGGAGCGGCAGAGGGACAGAGGGACCACCAGAGCCAAAGGGACAGCCAGGAGTGGAGGCACGAGGGGGTGAGGCCAGAGATGGGTTGGGGGCCGTGCCAGGCCGGATGCCTTGTGAGCTGGTGGGGCGGGCAGGCACCCTGCCCCGGGGGATCCCTGGCCCTGATCCCCAGGCCTCCGGTCACACGGAGCCCAGTCCTCATGGAGAGGGCTGAGACCCCATGGCCACCTCACTCCCACACTCCACCGGCCTCCTCTCCGCCAGGCCCCCAGCTCATGCTCTGCTGTCTGCCTCCTGCTGGCTCCCTGGAGCACTGTGCCCTCGCACCCCTCCACAGCTGCCCACCCTTGAGTGCTGCTTCTGCCGCAGCTGGGGCCCCTGAGGGCTTGGAGCCTGGCTTGGGAGGGAGCTGCCACCAGCCGGGCAGGACACCCTGCGGTCCCCTCCCAAGCTGGGCCTGGCAGTGGGTGTGAGACTGGGGGTCTCTTTGCCCTTTCACATGAAGAGGCATTGGTGGGTGCTCTTCTGGGCACAAACCCAGGTCCCGTCCACTGTGTGCTCAGGGTGTAGACGACGGCCTCGTCCCTCCCTTTATTAACCTCCAGTGTTCTGAGCCCACGCCCTTGACTTGGAGCAGCATCTGAACTTATTTTGTTTTCCTGCTTGTGGGCCCAGGCCTGGCTGACCTGGGGAGCCCGGGCTTGACGTGAGCAGGCCGGGCCCTGCTGGGATCCCGAGGCACCGCGGGGACCTGCCCGATAAGGCTCTGAGCCAAGTGGCTGCTCCCTGCCCGCACGAAGACAGGCCACCTTTCAACGAGAGCTGCAGTTTCCATCTGGGGCGGTTTTTCTTTTCTTTTTCTTTTTTTGAGACAAGGTCCGGCTCTGTCGCTTGGGCAGAGTGCAGTGGTGTTGTCACAGCTCACTGCAGCCGCAAACTCCTGGGCTCGCTCGAGTGGCTGGGACCGCAGGTGCCACTGCAGCTTCTCTGTTCTTATTAATAGTAGAGACGGGGTCTCACTCTTGCTGGTCTCGAACTCCTGAGCTCAAGAGATCCTCCCATCTCGGCCTCCCAGAGCCCAGGATTATGGGTGTGAGCCACTGCGTTTCTTAGTAGTGTTACTTTGTTTCTCCCCTCCCGGGTGAAAGCTACTTTAAAATAAATGGAGTCAACCGAAAGCCAGAGGAGCTGTTTGCTTTTCTCATGTCTCATAATGATTTAATGCTGTGTTTGTCTTGACTTAGAAATAAATTAAGGCGTTTTTAAATTGTTGCACCAGGTTCTAAGAGGTTGGGGAAATGGCGGTCATGTGCCCCTGGCAGCCCTGTTCCTCCGGTGGCTGGGGCGGCTGCCCTTGGGAAGCGCTACGGGTGGGACTGTGTCCGGCGGGGCCCAAGCACAGCGGGGTCTCCCTGGCCCATGCTGGACACTGCCTTTGCACACGGGGCAGATAAACAATGCAGAGACCCTTCCTCCCAGAAGGGTGCCCGAGCTCCACATGTAGTGGAAACCTTACTAGCTGGGACACACCTGCTGGTGATGCAGTGGAACACTCTGGACTCCAAGCCAAAGCTGCGTCTGAGCTCGTCCTCAGGGAGGCCGTGCGGAGCCCGGGGAACCTCGTCTGTTGGGAGATCCGCTTCGGAATGGGCAGGCCGTGTGTCTACACGCCCCTCACCTCTGAAGGGGCCTTGGGAGCCCCTGCGAGTTGGAGGATGGATGACTAAGGAATTGTCGCCTGTAGTGGGGTGAGTGGTGTCCCCCAAACTCATGTCCACACAGAAGCTCAGAATGTGACCTTATTTGGGAACAAGGTCTTTGTAGATGTAATTAAGGGAAGGATGGATATGACATCATGTTGGTTTAGGGTGGTCCCTAAATCCAATGAGAGTGTCCTTGTAGGAGACACAAAAGAGCCCACAGCAGATAGCCATGTAGCGACTGAGGCGGATGGGAGAGAGGCAGCCACCAGTGGGAGCACTGACTGTCCCCGGAGCTGGGAGAGGCCTGGGACAGTCTCCCTCAGAGCCTCTGCAGGGACCCCGCCCTGGCCACGCCTGTGGCTCCAGCACGGTGGGAGAGGTAATTGCTGTTTTTTTTTTTTTTGAGACAGAGTCTCACTCTGTTGCCCAGGCTAGAGTGCCGTGGCGTCAGCCTAGCTCACAGCAACCTCAAACTCCTGGGCTCAAGCGATCCTCCTGCCTCAGCCTCCCGAGTAGCTGGGACTACAGGTATGTGCCACCATGCCCGGCTAATTTTTTCTGTATGTATTTTTAGTTGTCCAGATAATTTCTTTCTATTTTTAGTAGAGACAGGGTCTCGCTCTTGTTCAAGCTGGTCTCGAACTCCTGACCTTGAGCGATCCACCCGCCTCGGCCTCCCAGAGTGCTAGGATTACCGGCTACTCAGTTTGTAGCAGTTTGTTACGGCAGCCTCAAGACACGATATGGGAAGGGTTTGGGGGCCCACACGGCCCCAGAGGTCTTAAATATTCATGTAACCTGCGAATCCGGATCTGTTGTCCTGGGGAGGGAGGCCTGTTGTAATCGAGGGAGGATCCCCTCCCCTGGGGAACCTTTGGTGTGACAGATGGCGACAGGACCCAGCGGCTGCGCGGAGGAGCAGCGTGGGCCTCCGTGTCGTCCGTCCTGACTTGATCTGAGACTTAAGTTCTGAAGGTAAATTTTATCGCAAGAATCCAACCTTGGAAGAACCGTGCTCCAAAGTGATGTGATTCTGCCCGGAGGCAGAATCTCTAGGACAAGGGGCTGTAGCGATGTTTAAGGGGAAGAACAGTCCACAGACCCTGCCCGCGTGGCTCAGACAGGACCTCAGGGGCCCTGAGGGAAGCGGAGAGGCCTCCAAGGCCGTCCAAGGCCCTGGCTGCAAGGCCGGCCTGTGCTGTCCACCCTGCCCTGCTGGGCCGCTCCTGGCCGCTCTCCTCGCCTTGGCACTGGCTCTGCTGTCCAGCGCTCACAGCTGCCAGCGCGACCGTCTCGAATACAAATGATCCTGTCGCCTCCTTTGTGTAAACCCTCCAG